GGAGGCCTTAGCAATTGCAATAAGGCAAAAATAAAAAACATACTGATTGGAAGAGAAGTAGTAAGACTTTATTTGAAGAAAACATGATTGTTTATATAGAAAACAGTCGGGAATCTATAAAACATATTTACTCAGACCAGTATGTGAACTTAGCAAGGTCGCAGGATTCAAGGCTAATAAGCATATATCAATGGTATTTTTCTATACTAGCAATGGGGTTGTGGGAAATGAAATGTTATAAAAATGTGTTTCCATTTTTAATATCATTACATTCTTGGGAATAAATAGGCTTGTATAGGTGCAGTGGAAACATGATAGAGGAATGGCTTAATTTAACCTGGGATGAGAAGTAATCTGGAAGGATTCCACACATAGTGATATCTGTTCTGAGTCTTGAAAGAAAAGAAACTTCCAAACAATTAAAGGAATAATAGTCATTCCAGGTAGAAGAAAGGACATAAGCAAACATTACAAAGATAAAGTTCAGGCTCAGTGGCTCATGCCTATAATCCCAGCATTTTGGGAGGTGGATGCCAGAGGATCGTCTAGGCTCAGTGGCTCATGCCTATAATCCCAGCATTTTGGGAGGTGGATGCCAGAGGATCGTCTAAGCCCACAGGTTCAAGACCAACCTGAGCAACATGGCGAGACCTCGTCTCTATAATAAATCATGTAGTTCCAGCTACTTGAAAAGCTGAGGCAGAAGGATTGCCTGAGCACAGCAGGTCGAAGCTGAGGTGACCAGCCTGCGTGACAGAGTGAGACTCTGACTCAAAAAAAAAAGATAAAATTACTTAAGAAAGCATGGCACATTTAGCATTTAGGGATGTGTAGTAGTTCTGTGTGACTTGATTATGTCAGGAGGAAGAGTAGTCCAAGAGGCTAGAGGTATGTACAGGCCGTATTATGAAGGTCCTTATGAGTCTCACTTAAGGCATTTGGCCTTTATGCCGTAGCCCAGCAGTCCCCAACCTTTTTGGCATCGGGGACCTTCATGGAAGACAATTTTTCCACAGACCAGGAGTGGGGGGATGGTTTCAGGATGATTCAAGCACACTACATTATTTCTGCTATTAGTGCATTGTAATATATAATGAAGTAATTATACAACTCATCATAATGCAGAATCAGTGGGAGCCCCGAGCTTATTTTCCTGTAACTAAGTGGTTCCATCTGTGGGTGATAGGAGACAGTGACACCTGAAGCGTGTGGCTTGTGTCCAGTCTATTCTGTCATCTCATTTTGGTTGCTGTCACTGCAGAAAACCCTGCTTCACAAAGATAGGAAAGAAGCATGGACGGAAGTGGTAAATAAAATAATGGGCAGACCACACATAGACTGAAATAAGTGTCGGATTCTGACTTAAACCCTGCCATCAGATGCAGCTGAAAAAAAGTACATCTACTCACTTGCCACTCACTGCTAGGATTTTTGTTTTGTTTTGTTTGAGTTTGGAGTTTCACTCTGTCACCCAGGCTGGGGTGCGGTGGCACACTCATGGCCACCCCAGCATCTACCTGCTGGGCTCTGGCAATCCTTATGCCTCAGCTTTCAAATAGCCAGAACTACAGACACATGCTACCACACCCAGCTAATTTTTGATTTATTGTAGAGACAAGGTCTCACCAAGTTGCCCAAGCTGGTCTCTTACCAGCATGCTCAGGCAATCTGCTCACTTCAGCCTCCCAAAGTGATGGGGTAACAGGCTGAGCCGCCAAGCCTGGCCACTAAGATATATATATATATATTTTGTTTGTTTGTTTGAGTTAGAGTCTCACTCTGTCGCCCAGACTGGAGTGCAGTGGCACGTTCCCGGCCACCGCAGCCTCCACCTGCTGGGCTCTGGCGATCCTTCTGCCTCAGCCTTCCAAGTAGCTGGAACTACAGGCGCGTGCTATCATGCCCAGCTCATTTTGACTTATTGTAGAGATGAGGTCTCGTCAAGTTGCCCAGGAGGGTCTCAAACCCGCGGGCTCAGGCAATCCACTCACCTCAGCCTCCCAAAGGCGCGGGATTACAGGCTGAGCCACTGAGCCCGGCCACTGATAAGATATTAACATGAGTTTGCAAGCGATTGATTTATGATGGTCTCTGTGCAGTCAAACCTCACCACTAATGTTAACGTGTATTTGCAGCCACTCCCAGCACTAGCATGACCACTTCAGCTCCACCTCAAATCATCAGGCATTAGATTCTCATAAGGAGTGCACAACCTGGATCCCTCGCTCATGCAGTTCACAATAGGATTCACGCTCCTGTGAGAATCTAACGCCTCTGCTGGTCTGACAGGAGGTGGAGCTTAGGCAGTAATGCTAGTGATAGAGAGTGGCTGTAAATACAGATGAAGCTTTGCTCATTCGTCTACTGCTCACCTCCTGCTGTGCTGCCCGGTTTCTAGCAGACCACAGGCTGGTACTGGTCCATGGCCTAAGGACTGGGGACCCCTGCTGTTGATGGGCTTTAAATGAGAAGGACACAGTGATGTTGCATTTTAGCAGTTAGCTATGGGAGAAGAGTTGAGTTCAGCCCTTCGTGACCTTCCTGCCATTTGTGTGCATTTCAGCTAACCGTTGAGAGCCACCAAAGGCAGTGGTACTACAGGGCTGCTTTCTAGGAATGGGGCACTGCTTCACCAAGCCATCCCTGTTCCAGGGTGAGGTACACGCCAGCTTCTCACTTGACCCTCCCAGAATCCTGTACCTTGCCTTGGTGCTAGTGGCAGTGGTGACTATGAAGAGCACTCACATGGTCGCTGTGGTAGCAGCAGCAGTATTTCTAGCCCCAGGGGTCTTGCGTACCAATGGCAATGGTACCCAACCAGGTGACAAGACACCTGGAAGGTAGAACAGTACTGTTCCAGTTCACGGCACAGAGGTTGATGATAGCAGTGTCGTCTGCAGTTATCATCAGGCTGTGTAAACCACCTGTTCAGGTTGCCAAGAAATGCAAGTAGAGAATGGGAAGTTTTTCACTAATTTATTAGACCTCAGACTTACACTTTTGGTTTTAAGACTATTATTGTATTATCTTCCATATCTGTTTCTAGTCTGATTTTTTTTTAAGATTACAGAAAGGAATTCTTTGTAATTTCAGCAGTTCTATGAACTAATTATCCATTAGGTGAACAATATGGAATAATTAAATGCAAACAGGTTATAAATGAATACATCCTGGAAACTTTGCAAATGGTTATTATGAGCCTTAATATCAATTTTTATTACATACTGGCACCTGGTTGTCTTGGTAAATCATCTGATACTAAAGGAAACACAGATTTTTTTTTTTTTTTTGAGTTGGAGTCTCACTCGGTCACCCAGACTGGAGTGCCGTGGCCGCTTCCTGCCACTGTAGCCTTGACCTGCTGGGCTCCGGCGATCCTTCCGCCTCAGCCTTCCACGTAGCCGGAATTACAGGCATGCACTACCACATCTGGCTGATTTTTTGATTTATTGTAGAGATGAGGTCTCGCTGCCCAGGCGGATCACGAACCCGCGGGCTCAGGCAATCCACTCACCTCAGCCTCCCAAAGGTGCGGGATTACAGGCTGAGCCACCGAGCCCGGCTAGGAAACACAGATTTTGCATGCAAGTACTTGCTTTATACATAACCATCTAGATACTTACGCATACCTAATAGAGAAAAACAGGACTGCAGTCGAAATGTGCCCAAGAGGTAGGTTTAGTTTGCCTCCAATCAATTGAGTTAATATGCAGAAGTTAGGAAATTCATGCACAAACCTGGATTTCATCCTTCTCTTTTTTTTTTTTTTTGAGTTGGAGTCTC